CCAGTACTTGCGAGGCAGAGGCAGGCAGATTTCTGCTAGTTCGAGGCCAGTCTGGTCTACATAGTGAGTTCCAGGACAGCTGGGGCTACAGAGAGATCCTGTCTCAAAAACACACACACAAAAAGTGCATCATCTACACACAAAGCATTATGGTTCTGATTGTTTAATGTGCCAAGTCTTGTTCAAATTCACACCCATCTACTCACCCAAAAGCTTCCGGCAGTGAGGTCTACACTACTGGACTGAAAGTGAGTATACACCCTATCAGGGTCAGTCTCGGTTTCGATGGAATGACCTCAAGAAGTTTCATTTTTAGAGGTTTTTAAATAAACACTGGACAGACTTGTTAAACCAGTAATCCTCTTATGTGTTTCTTTGCCTTCTTGGTTAACCTAGTACCAGCACCTCAGCAATTAGCAACACATTCTTACTAATCCCATCTTTCCACTCCAAGTATTTTGTCCACAAGAATTTTGCCATGATTGAGAGATCTGGGGAGGCATTGCAAAATACCTGTGTGTACAAAAGTTTGTTAGAACCAAAGTTGAAATGAGGTCATTTGAAAAATCACATTCTGCTTACTGTAGTTATTTGCCAAACTACATTCTAATTTTTTATTGATGAACCTACTGGCACAAGAATATACTATCTGAGGAGGTGGCTTGGTGGGGAAGGGCAGTTCCTGTGTAAGCATGAGGACCTGAAGCCTTGAATTCAGATCCTTAGCACCCATATAAAAAACAGGCACAGGGGCTGGAGAGATAACTCAATGGTTAAGAGCACTGGCTGCTCTTGCAGAGGACTCTGGTTCAGTTCCCACTACCCACATGGTGACTCATAACCCTTTGTAACTCTAGTTTCAGGGGATCTATCACTTTTTTCTGATCTCCAAGAGCACTGCACACACTTACATACATGCCAGGAAAACATACATACACATACACATAAAATAAATAAATAATAAATAAAAAAATAAATAGAAAGGAGGCACAGCCACCCATGTCTGTAAACCCAGTCCAGGGGGTACTGAGATAGGGGACCCATGGTTTGTGGGTTACCAACCTAACCAAAACACAGGGAGCTCCAGGTTCTTGAGAGACCCTCTCTCTCAAGGAAACAGGTGGAAAGCACTAGAAGATGACACCTGACATCCTCCTCTGACCTCCATATATGCATGTACATGGGCACAAGCATCCCACACATGTAAACACACGCATGTGCCACAACACAAGCATATAATAAACATTTTTTTTAATTTTTAGTCATTATTTTTATTTTATGTGTATGAGTGTATTGCCTGAATGTGTGTAAGTGCTCCCATGCTGTGCAATGCCCACAGAGATCAGAAGAAGGCATTGAATTCCCTTGGAACAGTTGTTAGCCACCATGTGGGTGGTGGGAATTGAATCAGGGTCCTCTGGAAGAGCAGCTAGTGCCCTTAACCACTGAGCCATCATTCCAGCCCCAACATTTTTAAAAAGGATACACTATGTGGGAGCCAGGGAGATGGCACCCATATGGTGGCTAACGACCATCTGTAACTCCAGTTCCAGGGAATTCAACACCCTCTTCTGGCTTCCAGAGGCATTGTACACATGTGGTTCACTTACATGCAGCCAAAGCACTCATATACATAAAATAAATAATTTTTAAAATAAATAAATGCGGCCAGGCATGGTGGCACACGCCTTTAATCCCAGCACTCAGCAGGCAGAGGCAGGCGGATCTCTGTGAGTTCAAGGCCAGCCTGGTCTACATAGTAAGTTCCAGGACAGCTGGGGCTACAGGGAGACCCTTTCTCAAAAAGACCAAAATTAATTAATTAATTAATTAATTAATTAATGCTTCCTGAATGAATCAGTGAATCTGTTAATTTTTGTTACTGAAACTGTCACTATCATGAGCTATTATTTACATCACACACATATACATGTTTATACACATATATAATACATATATTGGGGGCGCATTGCTGGATATGGAACCCAGGGCCTTACACATGCTAGAGAAGTACTCCACCATTGAGCTATATTCCGAGCCTTGGTTTTGGACTTGTTTTGAGATAAGGTCTCTCTCACTCCATAGCCCAGGTTGGCCATCACTGTTCTTCCTGTTTCAGCTTCAGGGTACTGGGATTGGAGGCATGAGCTAACATGCCCAGCAGAAATGTTTACTATTGGAATAGCTAAGAGTGGAGTTCTAGAATCAGACCAGTAGAATCCAGATCTGGGTGCTGGATGTGGTAGCTCGTGCCTTTAATCCTAGCACTCTGGAGGCAGAGGCAGGCAGATCTCTGTGAGATCAAGGCCAGCCTAGTCTACATAGCAAGATCCAGGCCAGCTGTGGTTACAGGGAGATGCTGTCTCAAAAACAAAAAAAAACAGACAAATCCTGGGACACTCTCATTGTGTGATTTCTCAAGTTCCTTGCTTTATCTAATAATACAGGACAATTAACATGGCCACCTGATAAGATTTTTGTAAATTAAATGAGATAATATGATCAAATTGTAGTTAGAACTGCCTAGTGAGTTCTTAATAATTGTTAGCTATAATTATTGAATATCTTACCAGTAAGACATTTATGTATTGCCAAAATGGCATTTTATAACCACTGAAAAATAAATTTTTAATTTATTTATTTTTATTTTATGTGTATGTCTTGCCTACATGTATGTGAATGAACTGCATAGAAGCAGTGCCCAAGGAGGGCATAAGAGGATGTCATATCCCCTGGAACTGGAGTTACAGACGGATGTGAGCTGCCTTGTGGTTGCTAGGAACCAACCCCTGTGCTTTCAAACAGGGTCTTAGCCCAGGCTGGCCTCAAACTCACTATGTCGCTGAGGCTGCCTTGAGCTCCTGATTCTCCTACCTCCACCTCCCAGGTGCTAGGATTATAAGCCTGTACTACCAGGCCTAGCTAAATAAAAAATAGTGCTAATAATTGTTGTTTCAATGCTTCCATTTCAATAATAAGATGAGGGCAGTAAGTATTTGTTTGTCGACCAGGGAACCTAGAAAAAGGTTTTCACCTAACAGAAAGGTTTGAGACTCCATTCCCTCCCAGCTTTACCTACATAAAAAGTGGCTCTCAATTACAGCTTTCTTGGTAAATTTAGCAATGAAAACCAAGTAGGACCTGGCTGTTCCTGCCAGTAAAAGAGCCAGAGACTTTGGCTAAAGTTCTGGGGCTAATCAAGGGGTCAGGCTTACCCAGCACTCAGGTTTCTGAGGGCTGCAGTGGAAATACAAAATGTCATTAAATAGCAAGACTACATCAAAGCCACCACTGTCTCCATAGCCCGGTGTGGATGCCAGGCAGGCAGAAGCTGCTTAGGATCCCCATGTGCATTCCTGAGCCCCAGGTGGGGCTCACTTCATCAGCACCATTTCCCCTCTGACAACTCTCATTGCTTAAAGATCATTCCCAGATCTTAAGCTCTCTTTGTAACATTCCAACCACCGCAGGGCTTGCGTTCCCTCTCCTAGGTTTGTCAGGAACAAAACTGGCTTCCCAAACTCCTAACAGGAGATGCAGCATTTAACCAAAAGGCTGCTAGTTACTACAGGAAGTCCTGATGCTTCAGCGAAGACTGGCCCTTGTGGCCAGCCTTCACAAACAGGGTCCTGCCAACTTAGCCTCATTTGGGTTGTACAGTTATGGCTGGTGCAGCTTCTAGACCCAACAATGTTTTCCAAGTGCTGGTGCACAGGCTTGCAGTTAGAAAGTGAGGTTCCTCCAGAGTGCCCGTGGCAATCACAACACAGGCTTTTGCTTTAGGGAGGGGTTGTTTTTTGAGATAGGCACTCTATGTAGACCAAGTGAGGCTTGAATGCTCCATCCTCCTGTCTCAGGCTCCATAGTGCTAAAACTACAGGCATGGACACCACACCTGGCCGCAACTGACTGTTGTGATTTTTTTATTTTTGTTTGTTGGTTTGTTTTTAGGTTCCATCTTCAGCCCTTTTAAAAGAAATTTATTTATTTTTAAAATTATACAAGGGCTAGAGAGATGGCTCAGTAGTTAAGAGCACTGACTACTCTTGCCAGTACCCAGGTTCAGTTCCCAACACCAACATGGTGGCTAACAACCATCTATAACTCCAGTTCCAGGGGATCTGATGTCTTCTTCTGACCTCCCAGGGCTTTGCATGCAATGTGGTGCACTTATATACTCACAGACAAAACACTCACACACATAAAATAAAAGAGAATAGAGAAGCACTCCAGTATTTGGTATAAATATGTATTTGTCAAATCCTGGTATTTTGGTGAAGCACACATCTAATCACCCTTCACTCTTTTTGTAACATACTATTTCAATCTGCTTGTTTATAGAATGAAAGCCTTAAGGGAAAGCCCATTTTACAGTCCTATGAAAAACCAATTTGTCTCTAAGATCAATTTTCCTGAACTTGGCTAAATCCTTGTAAAGGCTCCAATCTTTGCAACACACACACATAAAATAAATGATATTTCATTGCAAACATGTCTCTAACAATACAGCCAAACAATTAGTGAAGTATTCAAATGTGTTTGGAGTGTTTTGTTTCTGAGAGAAATCTTACTATGCAACTAGCCTCAAACTCTGCATCCTTCTGCCAACATACTCAGCTTGCATGCTGAATTTCTACTACATGCAACTACTGATCACTCTTCCATAGATGTAAAGCAGACAACTGACATTATAACTTCAGAAGTGTAGGACTTTGAGACACTCAAAATACTCCAGTGATAAGGAGATGCTTGCTGCTGCTGCTGCTGCTACTGCTTCTAAAAGCACCCAGTTGGTTTCCAGAAAACAGCTTGATGATTGCAAGAGCATAATCCAAACTCAAGAATGATGGAGTTAGGGAATGGCTGCAGCCTGATGACATAACATAAGATACTGTGAAGTGCACTCTGGGAGCCTAGGATGCTGGCATCCATACAAGGCAGTCTAGAAATGACATCAGTATCAATATCAATAAAAGAGTCAATATCAAATTAAACCAGGATACAGTCCAATTGCAATTTATGGGAAAAAAGAATAAATATAGAAATGCCAGCTCCTCCCCCCTCATGCCAAAATTATATGTCCTTGGACACGCAGTCATCACTGGGAAGCGCAGAGTTGGCATGAAGGTATTCAATAATTTAAAAATACAGTCAAGATCATTTGCGTGTGGTCCCAAAGACTTTCCAACTTATTTTTTAGCATTAGATTGTGGGAAGACATTGAATAAATTAGAAATATTTTCTTAAACTTAGTAATATGTTTCTTACAGCCCTCAAAGTCAAAATGCAACATATTCCACCATAACACAAATCCATAAGACAGAAGTTCACGGGACCTCAGTTCCCCCAGGTCGAATTCCTTCCTTCATGTGCCTCTATTTTTTTTTCCTGAATTAAATAGGTTTGCTTTCCAGTTCAAGTATTTTCTTCTGGCAAAGTACCTTCAGGACACACAGGCTTAATTATTTTTATATTCCACAATTCAAGCCTCCATTTACTAGTTTAAAACAATTCAGCTTAATCTCTCTATTCACAACTCCACCACACTTACATAAAAGGATCATTTAAAACAAGAATCCCCTCTGAAGGAGAAAGATTTTGGAAAGCCAAACTTAACCTGTCTCTTGAAAAGAGCCTTAAGAGACTCCTATTCAGAAACTTGCTTATTATTTTCTAAATATGATTAAATAAAATTAAATGTAAATAACAGGCAGTAATTAAATAACAAGTTTAAAATAAATAAAATATGCAGTCTGGAGTTTTCAGCAAATAGAGAAAGATGGGTTTTCTGGTAAGTTCACATTCCTTTCGGTACCAGTTGCTACAAGGAGTGGACAACACTGCCCCCTAGAGGGCATATTGTGTTCTACCCCCTAGTTCGTGTGAGAAACCATCCCAGGTTGCTCAGCCTAGTTGCACACAACACATTCTTTCCTTTCTGGGCCAGTTTGTCCTTGACCTTATGTGAATGAGTCTCAGAGCCTCTAGATCACAAATCCCCTAGAGAGACTTGGAGTAGGTTTATTGGGAGAATCAGAAATTAACCTTTTTGAAGGGAGGGTGTTAGACTAGGACCTCATGCAGCCCAGGGTGGTCTTGAACTCACAGAGGACAACCCTGAATTCCGGGTCCTTCTGCCTCCATCTCCAAGTGCTTGGATTGCAGGCTTTGTACCACCATACCTGACTTGAACTTTTTTTTTTTTTTTTTTTTTTTTTCCATCAGGGTCTCCTTGTAGGCCTGGCTGGCCTGAACTCTCTATGTAGCCCAGGCTGGGCTCAAACTCACAGCAATCTGCCTGCCCTGGCCTCTGCCTCTGCCTCCTGTGGAAACTTGAACTTTTTTTTTTTTTTTTTGCCACAGTTTTCAAATCTTACTGGGTATCAGAGTCACCCAGAGGAGTGTGCTTAAACCCAAGTTGTTGGGCTTGGTATCCAGAGTTTCTGACTTCTTAAATCTGGGGCTAAGTCCAAGAATTTGCCTTCTTAACAAGTCCCCAGGTGACAGTAATAGGCAGGCCAGAAACCACACTTTGTGAGCCAGACTGTGCTAGGCATTTTTGACTCAACGCTTCACAATACGGTGTGTTCTTACCATCTATGTTTCACGAAACAAGAAGCCAAGTCTCAGCTCAAGATGGCCAGGCACACAGTAGCGGCAAAGCCTGTAATAGACCCAGAACAGTTTAACTCCAAACACTTTGCTCTGTTTCCTACACTACAATGTCGGTCACGGAAATTGTTAGGCACTTCATCTTTCTTAGCTTTGGGTTCTTCATGTGGAGGGAGTGTGTCAGAATTCAGGTGACTATTTGGGGGACTTTCCCTCTCAAGACACATGGAGATCTGGATTAGAAGCCACCCTGGAAAAGTCCATGCCATAACTGAACTGGACCTCTGAGTAGGTAAGCTGACAGGGAAGGGAAGAAGGAGCTGGGCATGTCAGTTCCAGGGCCCTGCCTAGGTCTGGAACCCTCCTGTAAAAACACCCCCCGGGGGGGTCTGCCTTGTTCTAGATTCTCAGTGTTGTGTATCAGACACTCTGGAAACAATGTTTTAAGGCAAAAGTCTCCCCTCACCAGCATTTTGAGAACCAAAAAGCCTAGTGGGACTTGGAGAGGTCCCAGAGGCTGACTAAGATTCAGGCCTCAGTTCAAAACCATCAAGGTGTGGGGGGAGGCAAAACAACTCTAAAACAAGAGTGTCCACCCAGCTGTGTGAAGCCACACTTTTGACAAAGGCAAAAGGGTTTGCAGGGTCACTAGGATCACGCAGTGAAAAGCCTCTACCATTCAAGCCCAAGTAGGATGACACAGTGATGGGCAAGGAAGGGTTGAGGGCCGACGCCTTGCAAAAAGTTTCTCTCATCCTTTGCACCCAATTCAACTTGGTGCTTCCCTGTGGGCACTAATAATCTGGAATATCCCATGGGACAGTTTCTGGCAGTGGTCACAGGGGATGGGGGTGGGGAGGGGGACGATGTTCTCAGAAATACAACGCTGAGTCCTGGTCAGAGGAGATCCTGAGGTTGTGGCCCCGGCCAGCCTTGGTGCAAAGCTGGACCCGGGACTCCAGCTGCTCACTGAGTTCATCCAGGGCCCCGGTGCAGGCCTCCAGGCTCTCGGACAGCTTCTGGATCTTAGCCTTCAGCACGGCCTGGCTAACTTTGGTGGCGCCCTCGGCTCGCCTGGGGATGAGGAAGCCACGCGAGCCGAAGAAGACGATGAAGTAGACGGAATTGTAGAGGGCCATGGAGGCGTTCCTCCCGCTCTGCAGCAGCTGGCTGTCCCCGCGGCCCTGCCACTGGCAAAAGAACTCCAAGCAGCTCAGGATCTCGCGCATCTGGTCCTGGCAGGTGGCGGCGATCTCCTGCACCCTCCGCACATCCCGCGAGGTGCAGAAGATCAGGGACAGGTCGGACGTGATGGTGACAGCTCCTCCGGCGGTGGCCACCCCTAACCCCACAGCCGAAGCCACCAGCGAGGCCCCCAGGGTGACCGGGCTGAGCGACAGCCCCACGATGGCAGCGACCGCGCCCACTGCGCTCAGCGAGCTGCCCGCCAGGTTGGCCGCCAGGGAGCGCCGGCGGAGCCGCTCCAACCGCCGGGCCACCTCGCGCAGGCGCAGCATCTGGCCGTGCAGCCGGCCACGGCGGTCCAGCAGCAGCCCCTGGAAGCGCCGCAGACCATCTGCGCCCTGAGGTTCCCAGGCCACTGGCCTGTCCATATCCTGCGGGAACACAGACATGCAATTAAGTCCCGAGTCTCCTGCACGAGGCTCGCCCTTTCGGGTGTGCAAAAGGGAGTGCTCAAAGATTAAACATATCTTGGGCCGGGGATGTAGCTTAATGGTACATCAGTGACCTGACATGTGTGAGGCCCTGGAGTCAATCCCCAGCAACGCAGAAATGGATGGATGGATGGATGGATGGATGGATGGATGGGTGGATGGTCGGACGGGCGGATGGATAGATACATAGATACATAGTTACATAGATAGATGCTACTGCCACGCTGGGGAAGGAGGAGGGGTAAGAGAGTAGATTTCCACTGGGTCATGTGTCAAGTTCACAAAGACCAGTTCTGGAATCTGGGACAAGTCACACAAGTTCTCAGGACCTTTTAACTGCATATGCAAATAGAGACAATTCTGTCTTCTGCTTTGCTCCCAGCGAACACAACAAATGATGAACTTAAAAAAAATTTACCGGGAGGGTGGGGGATATTAGAAGGCTGCTCCAGTACCAGGCTTTGCTCTGTTTGAAAGATGACACTTGAGTTGAGGGTGTGGCTCAGTGATACAGAGATTGTCTGGCATGTGCAAGACCCTGGGTATGACACACATCCTGCCCCCAACAGTAAGAAAAAAAGGTAACTCCTTACAGTGTCAGACTGTACACTTCACAAAAGGCCTTAATGTGGAGACTTAGATCCTAGGACCTTGCAGTATAGTTGTTTCTCTCACTCTCTTGCTCTCTCTCTCTCTCTCTCGCTCTCTCTCTCACTCTCGCTCACTCCAAAACCTTAAGAAGTACATTATCTATCAAACTGGAGAAACTAGTCTTTCTAACAAGGGTAACCTGAGCTACATAATGAATTCAGGACAAGCCTTGGTTATATAGGGAAACCTTGTCTCAAAGACGGACGGTGGAAGAGTGCAAAGGGGAGCGGAGGAGAAAGGGGGAAGAATCAAATAAAACAAATTGTGTTTGAAAACGCCATAACGAACCCTACTACCATGTACGTTAATTTAAATAAATAAATACATGTCTACTTTTCTAAGTTAGGTGTGTGTCTGAAACAGTTCCCTTGGGTTATACAGGGAAACCTTGTCTCAAAGACGGACGGTGGAAGAGTGCAAAGGGGAGTGGAGGAGAAAGGGGGAAGAATCAAATAAAACAAATTGTGTTTGAAAACGCCATAACGAACCCTACTACCATGTACGTTAATTTAAATAAATAAATACATGTCTACTTTTCTAAGTTAGGTGTGTGTCTGAAACAGTTCCCTTCTGCCTGTTATTCTTCCAGGCTCTCTGTTTAGAATCAAGTCTAAGATATAATTTGCACTATTTATTATAACTAACAACCCTAAAGTCTTCAGAAATGTCGATCTTGGATGGAAACTTAATCAAAACCAAATCACATCCAGTTACTACTATGTCTCTTTGCTAAGAGAGCTTCATTTTTAAAAAATGACTAACAGTTGAATAAAATAAATACCCAAGCTGAGAATGACCACATATACCTGTGATCCCAGCACTTGGGAGGTAGGTGGAAGCAGGAGGAGCTCATTGAGGGTTCGAGGCCAGCCAGGTCTACATATTAAGTTCCAGGCTATCCAAAGCTACTTAGTAAGACCTTGTCTTAAGAAAAGATATAAAGAAAGAGAGGGAAGGGGAGAAAAAGAGGAAGGCAGAAAGAAGCCAAAATTTGTGTTCAACAACTCGCTGAAGCCTTCCTCATATCAAGTTGAATCGAAGTGACTAGAAAGTGCCTAACAGAGAAAACTGAATGTACCAGAGTCAAAGTCCATCTATCCCAGTTGCCAAAGACTCCCATTTTCATATCCACTGTATTCAGAGCTTCTTAAATCATCAAATGAATCATAGAAAAAGCATGTCAAAACTAAAATAGGACCGAAATCATGAAAGCATGTCGCTTTCCCTTTCTTTCTCTACCTCTTGTTTTAGACAAGGTCTCACATAGCCCGGGCTGGCCTTGAACTCCTGATCCTCCTACCTCCATTCCAAGTGCTGAGACAACAGTCAGGCCACAGCCAGAAATCATTCTGGACTGTTAGGATGACAGAACTAAAAGCAACATGGTAAGTGCAGCCAATGCCTCTCAGAACCTGGTGTCTAGAATCTGATCTTCTGACCCATAGGTTCTGCTGCTCCTTAGCTTCCATGATCCAATTGATCAATTGAAAGTTTCCAGACAAAAAGAGAAAAAAGTCACCCCCTGGGTACATGACGGACCAAAGGGTTGGACCCCAGTGTTGCCAGCACACCCTGTATTTTTCAGGCAGTACCCTTCTAAGTTCCCCACTTACCCTTCACTTCTGGCCTCCAGGAGAAAAAAGTCAGAGACCGGTTCTGGATGAGCGCGCTTTATAGTCCCTGAGAGCCAATGACAGCCCTGGGAAAGCCTTTTCTCATTCTGAGACCTTCCCATTTCCTGCCCTGACCCCTGCTGCCTTCAGCCAGGATGTGACATGGTGGAAAATGACTTGCATGCAAAGCACATCCCGTATTTAGGAAATGAACATTGTGTGTTCGCTTTCCCCTCCTAGCTCAGGAAGAGAACCACAGGCTCTTCCCCAACTTGAAACAAGTGCTGTCATCTCCCAGGGTGGATACCATGCCTTTCCTCTCCTGAGAATAGCTACTGACGCCATCAGGGAGGCTTTCCAATGTGCCCCAGGCTGTCCAATTATAGTGTTTCTTTGAGAGGACACCATCACAGAAGCCTTTTTAAAAAGAAATGGGAGGGAGTGGAAAACTCCTGACAGAACCACTCACGGTCCATTTCAAAAAGCATCATAGATCTGTGAGTGGTTGGAACATGTGACCCACTGAGGCAGGCAGCCAGCACCAGAGAGCCCTAGAATGCAAAGCTACGCCCACGGGAAGTGCTGCGTGCAGTTTGGGGCATCCAGCTGTGGAGACGATGCAGAAGGTCTCAGAAAGGGCATGCTGCAGGCCAAATGCGTCAGAAAAATCACTAGGGTCAAGCTGCACACCGAGCTAATTATACACTTCCACAGCAGCAGAGAGATGATGGCTTCCGGGGTTTTCATCTGAGGCAGGGGCTGGAGCTCATGGGATAGTTGAAAGCCTGGATTCCAGCTACAGATCAGTCAGTGAGGCCTGAAGGACAGTTACCTCATAGACAGTGGGAAAAGAGTGCCACCATCTTGGGTTTGCCTAGACAGCATGGTGGGGACCTACGATAGCAATCTTTGGAGCAGAGATGCTGGAGCCTAGCCTGGAAACTCAGTCACACCACGCGGCCCCTAATGTAGGATCCTTTGTCTAACACTGTCACTTTCAGATTAGAAAGGCCAAATTGGTTTTCACTTAAATGATTAATGTCTCCGGTTGGGAATGTGGCCTCTTTGATGGACTGCTTGCCCAGCATGCCCCAGGCCCGGGGTACCACCTCCAGCATCCTGATGGCCCACACCTGTGATTCCAGCACTCAATAGGCAGATGCAAAAGGATCAGAAGTTCAAAGTCAACTTCAGCTACTCAGGCAGTCTGAGGCCAGCCTTGGTTACAGGCTCTCACCAAAGAGTACTGGTTGGCCTAGAATTCCTTATGTAGACCAGGCTGACCTTGAACTCATGTTGACCCTCCAGCCTTTTCTTCATTTGGAAAGTCTTAACAGTTCATTTTAGAACATGATTAAGCCCATCACTTTCATAACAGTACCCTGTCGTCACAGTGTCATTTGCTATTACTCACAGCCCTGGTGCTTTTGAGCTGGATTGTTCTGAATTTAGTCCATGTCCAGATATTCTGGTTATAGCTACTGAAAGGATCAGTATAACCTCAAGCAAGGTGCCTCCAGTTTCTACTTTTGAGCTAAGAAGGAGAAAAATGGGGCTGGGGCGTGGTGGCACAATGCTTGTGATCCCAGCATTGGGGAAACTGACGGAAGAGTGATGCTGCAAGTTCAAGGCCACCCTGGGTTCTAGAGTGAGACTTTCTCTCAAAATATAAAATAAAACAAAACAATACCCACGTCACACACTCACGTAAACACACATGCACACACACAGAAGGGCCGAGGAGATAGCTCGGTGGGTAAAAAAAATAAATAAATAAAGTGCTTGCCTTGTAAGCACAAGGACCTGAGTCCAATCCCCAAAACCTACACTTTTTTTTTTTTTTTTCGGTCTTTTTGAGACAGGGTCTCCCTGTAGCCCCAGCTGGCTTGGAACTCGAGATGTAGACCAGGATGGCCTTGAACTCACAGAGATCTGCCTGCCTCTGCCTCCTGAGTGCTGGGACTAAAGGTGTGCTCCACCACACCGGCCAGAACCTACACTTATAAAAAAAGGTGTGGATGGGGCTGGAGAGATGGCTTAGTGGTTAAGAACACTGACTGCTCTTGCAGCGGACCCAGGTTCAATTCTGAGCACCCACATGGCAGTTACGAACCGTCCTTAACTCCAGTTCCAGGGGAAATCGAAGCCCTCTTCTAACCTCCACAGCATTGCATGATATGGGTGCACTCACATACATGCAGGCAATACACTCATACACATAAACTAAAAATAATAAATAAAACATTTTTTTAAAAAAAGGTGTGGTGTAGCTGGCCAGTCAGCCTAGTCTACTTCATGAGCTCCAGGCCAGTGAGAGACAGTGTTGACAAACAAGACCCCACGTTGTCCTCTGGCCACCATATGCATGTGCATACACACACAAACATATACACACACACCACCACCACCACCACCACCACATCACCACTATCATAAGAAAAAAAAAAAAAAGAAGGCTTCTTGGGGCTGGAAAGATGGCTCAGGGGTTAAGGGCACTGACTGCTCTTGCAGAGGACCTGGGCTGGAATCCCAGCACCCACATGGTGGCTACGAACCATCTATGACTCCAGTTCCAAGGGAATCTGACACCCTCTTCTGACCTCCTCAGACACTGCATTCCTGTAGGGAATACATGCATACACATAAAATAAAAACACTAAAATATTTTTTTAAAAA